TCACCCCAAGTTGATTCCATGGCACAGCGCTGCCAATTCTCAAGTTTTTCGCGCCCAGAACCCCGGCCAAAACCCGTTGTCTTCGCTAGGCGTCGGTGGCGCACCAAAGACACCTCTCTTACACCCAAGAGCCCCCCCGGCTGTGATGGTCAAAACGTGTTTCAACCACGCACCGTCAGCCTCCTCACCCCTTCACCCACGTCCATCCGGGCTGCCACCCCTGCCCCGATACAACATCTCACACCCAAATGGCCCAGCCCATGTCGCCTCTCTTGACGCATCAACCACCACACATCCCACCCCCCTGTCGACTCTGATGTCGACGCCTGGCCGATTTTTTTTTCAGATGCAACGACGCCCGCCCGAGCAGGGGTCTGAGGTTTCTGGCATCTCTCTCTCTCGCAAAAGCGCAGACACCACACAACTCTTGGGACGATCCCGAAGGGTCGCCTTTAAAACCATGCCGTTCCCTCTCACCCCCTCTGCTTCCAGTTTCCCGTTCCTGGAGAAGTCATCAAAAAAGAGTTTCTTTCATTCGGATTTTATTTTCCTTTTTTATTTTTTCTTCAACCGCGTTTAATTCCAACCGTCTTCTTCCACCGAGGCTAGTCCTACCAACAGCGCAAGTCGCTTTTTCACAACAAACCATTCGATTCTAGTAGTCACTCTCTCGACGAATACTCTTCGACTTCATCCTTTTTACCGGTTTCTTCAAACGAACTCGATTCAAGATGCATATGTCCGCTATTGTTGTCTCGGCCCTGGCCGCTGTTGCTCAGGGTAGGTTTTCGGCAGATGCTGGAACAGGAAAAAGGCCAACAGACTAACACGAAAACCCAGCCGTCGACGTCCAGGTCGTCTCCGTCGCCTCGACCAACAACACCCTCAAGTTCTTCCCCGACAAGATCAACGCCCCCGTCGGCTCCATGGTCCAGTTCCAGTTCCGCGGTGGCAACCACTCTGTCGTCCAGTCCACCTTCGACAACCCGTGCATCCCCATCCAGAACGTCAACACTTCCGCCAAGGGCGTCTACTCCGGATACCAGCCCGTCGCCGCCTCCACCGCCAAGGGCCAGATTCCCGTCTTCACTGTTGAGGTTAAGAGCGCCACTCCCATGTGGCTGTACTGCTCCCAGGCCAAGCATTGCCAGAACGGCATGGTGATGGTCATTAACGAGAAGTAAGTTTACCTTTTTGCTTTTCGAATTTTCTTTCCCGCGGTTCGCGTTGTTGTCCGGAGAACCCTTTTTCCCGCACGTGGATACTCCTGGTCTGTCGGTCAAGTGTGACGTGAACCTCGCGTTTCACATCTCAGACGAGACAGAGGGGTGGCCGAGATGCATGAACCACCGCGCACGGAGACACTACAAAAATAAAAATACGATCAAAATGCTAACAACCCGCCCAGCACCAATGCGAACGCCACCCGCTCCCTGGCAAACTACGCCAAGGCCGCAAAGAACGTCGCCCAGGCCCTGATCCCCGGCCAGTCCTCCGGCGGCGGCTCCGGCTCCGGCTCTGGCAACGGCGGCGGCAGCGCTTCCCCCACCACCGGCACTGGCTCCGGCACGGGCTCCGGTTCCGGCTCTGGCGCCGGCAGCGGCGCTGGTGCTTCCGCCACCCCCTCCTCCCCTCCCACCGCCGGCGCCGTCTCCCTCAGCGCGCCCGGCACCCTCCTCCTCGCCCTCGGCGCCACCTTCATGCTCATGTAAGGTGTTCAGCTGGGGTGAAAAATCGGCGGATTATTATTCCCATGCAACACAGCTTGTTATCACAAGCGACACAAGACGAGGAATATTTATGGAAGGGGTCGGTGTAACGGAATGGGCCAGGAGTTGGTCTGGTTACGGTGTACCATTGCGATGATGATCTTAATACCATTCACTTTTTTATGTCATGTTGTTTTTATCAATCTTGTCCTGGCAAAACGCAGTTTTTACTTTTTGCACGAAACCAAGCTGCTCTTCAACAGGGACAGCAGCTGGTGAATGAACTGGTTGAACGCTGAGGGGAGGATGAGAGAGAAAATTCAAAACTAGACGGGGACTATTTCCTGTGTATATAGTTCCGCGCCGAGAGATCGGCGTGACTCTGCATGTTTGCTGCTAGCACATCTAAATCGAGTTTCTTGATTCTGGTCAACCTTTCGTTTGGAGTTCCGTGCAAAAGTCTTTGATTGAGACATAAAATATTCTCAAGGGATGCGTTCATGGAAACCCCCACCTACTAGGCTGATGCGAGCCAGGTAAAAAAAAGAATTGTGTTCCCGAACTATACGGTCTGTCCATTTTTGGCACGCATGATGTGACTGTCGCTGTGGCGGGCGATATTCCCTGTCCTTGTCCTGCGCTGATTATCGCAGTCCTTGAGCTCAGTGGCACTGGCCAGTCTCGTTCTCGGCATCGGTCATTCTCAGCGACTTCTGCAAATACTCTGGTCTCAAGTTGACAAGACGAGTAGCAACAGCATCCTCATGCAAGCAACATATTTCCTGCCAGCTCCGCACAAGTCCAACGGTGCTCAATGCACACTACCATGCACAGAAATAGAAATATATTCAATGGGAAAAAAAGGCCGAATGACACCGCTTTTGCAGCCCGTTACTTCTGCTCCTCCTGCCCGGGAATCTTCCTCTTGACCCGTCCCTTGGCCGCCTGCTCGCACAGCTTCGGCGGCTTCGCCTTCTCCAACCAGCCCTCCTCCCTCTTGACGCGGCCGACCTTGATGTACTTGTCGCTCTTGCTGAAGAAGTCGACCCAGTGCTTGAGCGTCTGCTCGACCATGCGGTGTGCCTCGGCGCGCTCCTCGGCCATCTTCTTCTGCATCTCGTCGTAGCTCCAGTGGCGGTCGACCTCGGGGTCGTCGAGGGGCAGGAACATGTCCTCGACGCCGCGCATGTCCGGGGTGCGGTCCTCGAGGAAGCAGCCCGTCACGAAGCCGCGCGAGGCGTCGTGGCCGGCGAAGACGTTGTAGGAGCCGCCGGGCCCGTAGATGCGCGGGTTCGCGGAGACGTCGAAGATGGTGTGGTTGATGGCGAGGTAGATTGGCAGCCCGGGGTCGGAGCCGTTGTAGGCGAGGAGTTGCTCGGGTGTGAGCTCGATGGGGCCGTTCTGGGAGGGGAGTTGCGTTAGTGGTTTGCCGCTTATTGTAGAAATGGCAACAGGGAGAAGGCAGAGGACAATCTCACAAGCTTGGACTTCCAGTAGTCCACCTTGAGGTACCACGGCTTGTTCTTGAAGCCCCAGAAGAAGCTCTCGCCGTTGCTGATGAGGTAGCTCAGGGCGCAGGAGGCGAGGGCCAGGAAGCTGATGACGCGCAGGATGTCGAGCCACGGGCTGTACTCCTCCGCGCCGTCGTCGTTGGCCTTCTTGGATTTCTTCTTCTTCTTCGACGGGGCCGCGACGGCGCCCCTCGAGTTCTCGGCCGGGGTGCCCGCGAAGAGGTTGTCGTCGTCTTCCTCAGCGGCCGCTTGCGGCTTGCGCTGCCGTACCTTGTCGTCGGCCATTGTGTGCGTGTGCAGTGTGTGTATGTGACTGATGTGCACGTCGGGACACGTGGTTGTGTTGAAGAAGCAAAGATGGGATTCGGAGAGCTCTTCCAATGGGGGGTCTCGCGACTTTTACGGAAATATATTTTGGAGCTGTCCTGCGCTAAAGATAGGTCACGTCACCCATCGACCAACCCCTGAACTACATAGAGATGTGGCCTGACGGAAGCTACGGACACTGCATATTTCGAGCAATTCGAGCACGAATTGGGTACGCGGACGGAGGGACGGACTCTACGCTGGTTTGCAAACCGGGCTGCTGTTACTGGTTGATTGGGGCAAGCTGTTCAAATATCGACGTTGATGCCGAGAGCGAGCGAGGATGGCTGCACCGTGGGCGTGGGGACGGCGGACATGGGCCCCAAAAAGTGACTTTTAGACGGCGTGTGATAGGCCGTGGCGGATCTAAGCCATCCGAAGAGACGGGCCTTTGGTGCTTTTGGGGGACTCCTTGGAGATGGGAGTTACGAATATAGTGCCCAAGTCCCCTATTGTTGCTGTTGACGGCCTCCGGATGCCGTGAGTTAGGTAAGCTTCCAGAAGCTCTGGGCCTGGTCTCACCTCGCCAATATTTCACGACCAACACAAACAATTGCATAAGGAACCCGACTTGTACAACATAATGCAAATGCAACAGACCTTGAGTCTTTGAGACATTGCACCGGAAGACAGGGCCTCGATGGGGATTTCCCAAAAAGAAATGGACTTCATTTACCGCAATGCCCAATCGGCATCGGCTTGCATCATCTCGTGTGCTCCCACTTCTGCGGATTCGAAGCTCAATTTCTCTAGCTGCATGCTTCTTAGCGGGGCAATCGCTGTGTGGGGTCTGCGTCTATTGAGCTTACCACATTAAGCATCTCACCAACGCGACACTGCAATTTTTTACCCGGGGCTGCACTCAGTGACACTGAAAAAGGGCCCAACGGTGGGGCTTGCTTAGGTCATTGTCCCTCACGCCCAATCCCTTTCCGGGAATGAAGCCCATCTCGCCCATTTCGCTACGGCGTCGAACCTGCTTGGGGCCACCCACTCACACTCCAATCCGCCGCGTCTCCCAGTCAACCCGCCTGCAGCGCCGCTGTAAACACCCGCAACGGCCATCCTGGGTCGATAAGATCCCTTGAGTGCTACTTTTCTGCTTTTGCCTGGCCTGCGTTAGATGATACCACCTTCATTAAGCACCTCTCCCAGCTTACCTTGCCTCGCTCGACGCCATCACCGTCATCATCGCACTTTTGCGACGACTGTGTTACTCTGCCCCTCGCGCCCTGAAACCGCCCCAGGACCAGACTAAAAAAAAAGAAAAGGCTTATCTAGCAATTTTCCAAAATCACTCAAACCGCCATCATCCCGCATCATAGGGGATTTACGTTGGTAGACACCCAGCACGCACCTTTTCCAACATCGCTCCGTCGACACATACACGCATACACAAATTACAACACACAAGATGGCCGACATCCCCGACGCCCCGGCGTCGCCATCACCGAGCCTCCCGCTCAACCCAATCACACCAGACCGCGCCAACCAGAAGCGCGATGCCCGCAACCTCTTTCCCTCGCCGCGCGGCAGCGAAGGCCGCGAAAGCTCCGTCCACGAAAAGATTTCCCAGTTCAACTCTCTCGCCAATCAGACCAAGACTCTCGAGCGCAAGACCGCCGACGCCGCCCTTAAGCGCGCCATGCTCGGCCGCGAGGAGGCCGAGGGCGAGGCTCGCCGCTACAAGGACGAGTGCAAGGTGCTGCGCGTCCAACTCGAGAAGGGCAAGGAGAGGGAACAGCGCGTCAGCGAGAGGCTAGAGACCGTCATGGTGAGAAACCCCGCCCGGCGATTCCGAGGTTGGCAGCCCCCGTGTTCTAACATTTGTGATTAGGAGCAATATGGCCGCGCAAAGGAGACGTACGCACACACCAAAGCCGCCTGGGAAAAGGAGATCAAGCTGGCCCGCAAAAAGACATTTAAGAACGAGTCGCAAATCATCAAACTGCAGGAAGAGCTCAAGGCCGCCCGCGAAGGGTGGAGGGCGGCTTCCGACAACATCGACGCCGAGAAGCTGCGCTCTAAGGCGAGAGAAGAAGAAGCCTTCCAGGCCCGCTACCAAATGGTCAGCATGGAGGAGCAACTGACAGAGGCCCTTGAGAAAATCAAGCTGCTCGAGCAGGAGCGTGATGCCTTCAAGACGCTCGCCAAGGAGGAGGAAGTAGCCCGCATCGCTGCGGAAGGCCGCATCCCGCTGCCCAAGAACGACGCCGCGCAGGACGAGTTCTCGTCACCCAAGAAGAGGCCGCGCTTCTCGCTCTCGACGGTCGACATTGTCTCGTCCGCCGCCACCGAGGAGGAGATTGAGCAGCTGAGCCTCGAGCTTTCCTGGGAGCGCCAGCGTGCGGACCGCGCGTACGAGATGGTTGATTTCATGCAGGCCGAGTGCGAGAACCGGTGCTGCTCTTATGCCAAGGCACGCAAGAGGCATAGCATGGCATCCCCCAGACAGAGCCTGGCCTCCAACAGGCCGAGCATTCTGTCGCCGCGCAGGAGGCTGATGGCCCCTGCTGAGATCGCTGACGCTAGCGACCTGGTCATCCTCCGCGATTCACGAGAGTCGCTGTCGGACCGCAAGCCATCTCTGAAATCCTCTCAGCTGTCGTCCCCCGCCTCGGACGACGTGCCGAAGAAGCCCGAGAGCTTGAAGAGATCAAGAGAAGAGAGGAGAAGCACCATCTTCTGCCCTCGCGAGGGCATCTTCCGCACTGTTTCTCAGGAAGAAGCAGAGGAGGTAGAGGCTCGCAGAGAGAAGGAGGAGCCGCAGCACGAAGACAGTGAGGCTTCCCCCAACGAGCCGCCCACACCTGTTGACGCCCCCCTAAGATTCTCTCGCACACCATCCCTCGACCCCCCGGCCTTCGCGGTCCTCGCGCAAGAGCGCATGTCTCTAGCCTCCCTGCTCAACGCACCCCATGGCGGCGCCGACGGTGAGGTTCACACGGCTCCTCTCCCGTCCATCCCCACCATGCCCGACACCCCAGCGCGCCCCGAATCTCGCGCCTCACGCAGCCCATCCCCGACGCCCGACAACACCGTCCGCCCACACACCGCCGCCGCCTTCTACACCAAGACCACAACCACCAGTGTGCCCCTCCGCGACGACAAGCCCCGCCCCGTGCCGCGCTACGAGCGCGCCCGCACGCCCTCGGGCGAGTCGCACATGTCCTTCGACGTCAACAACCCCGCCATGACGCCCACCATGACCCGCGAGGAGGCCCTCGCCCGCATCCGCGAGCGCCGCGGCCGCGCAAAGTCCATTGCGCAGGGCACCGCCACGCCGCGCAAGAAGATGATCGAGGGCGCCGGGGAGCGGCGAGACGTTAGCGCCCCCGCCGGCCAGGCGGTCCCCAAGGCCAAGGCATAGAGTCCCTCGGCGCCTTTCACGGACCCGCGCGGTGGTAGCAGCAGCAACTCGCAACGGGGGCTTAGCACGACGACGCCGACGCGGATCGACGTCGCTCCTGCTGATACAGCCCACAACGGGGTCGACGACCAGCGGCTCAGTCCCTTCCAGAGGGCGGCCGAGATGAAGAACCGGATTTGGAGGATTACACGGGACTCGCTGGGCTGGTCTGCCGGTACATGAAAACATCACACACACACATCACACAAATGACAGACACACACACACACACACACACACACGCATGACATGACGGCGTTTTTCCGGTGGGAACGGGGCGGACCCAATGGGAAAGATACCAAAACAGTGGGAAAGGATTTTTGTCTTGTTTTCCACGGCATGGGGCGTTTCTTTCTGCGTGCGAATACCTGGTTTCTGGATAATTATTTTCGCGTTCCTTCTTCACCCTCCATCACGGCCGGTCCTCCTTTCTACATTTGCATTGTCGCGGCGTTTTCGGAAAGGCAAGGGAAGGGCTAATCATGAGGAGTTGAGGATTATTGTCTGTTATTACCTTTACACCCCTTTTTAGTATACGTATCATACGGGTTTTCTGTTGTTTTTGTACGATTAAAAGTGCTGTTTGTCTTGTTGCCCCGTTTGATGAGAAGGAAGGGGTGGATAGTATATTTCTCGTTTCGACGCGGTAATTCAACTTTGCTTTTTATACTGTTTAAACTCACTGGCCGTTTTTGCATGCTTGCTTGTGCTCTGTTGAAGATACGAAAGGTGTAAGAGTAGGTTTAGTGTTCTCGCGAGGATTTGATATGTGTTCGAAATGAAAGCGTGACCGGCTGGCTGGTCTTTATGTCTACCTCGTGGACAAACGTCTTATGGAAAGAAATACTTGCTTGACGCCTTGCTGCTGCTACCTACCTTCTCGTGAACTAAGGCTAAAGCTATGCTAGGTTTCATCTCAGAAGCAGCGATTGCGTAAGGGCCGCTCGAAATGGTGAGTCTGAGTCGTCGGTCTGCAAGTATCCAGGATAGGAAAGGGGGGCACGCCGATGTTAGCGCTCGCCTTGGATTTCTGCCGAAGAACTCAGGATGACAGAAACATGAGGGCATTTCACGGCACATGTTAGGTGTAGAGCCAAAGCTGATATGTATTATCTATACAAACAGCCGTTTGAATTACCAGAGTTATATGAGTGCTAGAAAAGCCCGAGAAGTATAAAACAAAGCCTTACTTTTGTCGTGGATGTTTCCCTTTACAGTCCCGACTTCCTTCCTTCCGTGGTATATGTAAAACATATTATATCATAACGTCGTTCAGCATGAGTGACTTGTCATCTTCCCCTCTCGCCTCCACTTCCTAGATCTTAGACAACCTCTCGACTTGTCACACTGATATATATAAAGATTTGAGACGCAATTCTTCAGCAAATTAATCACCCGTTCAGGAACCCCCTGGCCGAATTGCGCGCGCTCTCGGAGCTGTAAGCGTCGAGCTTGACGGCCACGAGCACGCACTCAACGCCGCTCTTGCCGTTGCGCGTGCCCTGGATCTTGAGCCGCCACTGGCCCGTTCTGACGACCCACTCCTCGGCCGCCAGCGCAGCGTGGCTGCCGCCGGCGGCGTAGCCAGACGAGTCGATGCGCCGGCGTTTGCGCGAGTTCGGAAGGAAGCCGGCGGCAGCGGTGGACGCCGAGGGAGACTCGTGCCCGCCGCCTTGACCGGTGCTCGAGGTCGACGAGGCCTGGTCGTCTGCGGGAGCGGGGGTGTCGAAGGTGTGCGGTTTGCCGTCGAGGGTGATGGAGGTGTCCGGGTCGATGATTACGCGGACGAGGTCTTCGCTGAGAGGCGTGTGTCCCGGGGTCGGGGGCTGGCTGCCCGCGCCGCCAGAGGCCATGAGCAGGCCCAGGGGCTGGGTGGTCGGGGGCAGGTTGAGCTTGGTCGCGACGACCTCGAACATGCGGGCGACGCGGGCGCGGGTGTCGCGGAAGAACTCTGCGCGGATGGAGTTTGGCTGAAAGTGCAGGCGGGTGCTCTCGCCGCCAATCTCGAGGACGAGCTCGGCGGCGCGGTCGTCGACGTAGGGGCGGGCATAGTTGACCCAGCCCGCGAAGTGGTCACCCGAGGGTGAGGAGATGGCGGAGGAGGCGTCGGCGGCGACGCTGATGCCGCTCTTGAGGATGTCTTCGAGGCGCAGGACAATCTCCTCGCGGCGGCGGGACTGGTTGTAGCTGATGTTGTGAGGGATGAGCTTCTGCTCGAGGCCCTTGAAGTTGAAGTATCTGCAGTCGCGGAGGAGCTCGGCGCGGTGGGTCTCGTTGCGGATGGTGACGGGGTAGCCGCGGAGGAGGTGGAGGATCTCGGCGAAGGTGTCGGCGGAGCGGTTCGCGACGGAGGGGGGTAGGATGGAGGGCGGGCGGAGGAGACCTTCGCGGTCGAGGCCCGGGAAGAGGTCTTCTGGGTTCGAGAAGAAGACGGCAAAGCCGAGAGAGAAGAAGTTGGGGGAGTTGCCCGGGTCGGTAAAGATATCGCGGGGGATCTGGAACTCGCGGTGGCCGATGGAGATGAAGATTGACTCCTCGTATAGTTGTGATATCAGCTTCGGTACTGGAGGTGATACATGTTAGCAATGCGCCGGCAGGGCCGCTCTTGGAGGGGCAGACTGTACAGCTGTAGAATTGAGCGTCCGCAAAGAGGCGCACAAAGTGCGTGCCGTCTCGCGGCTTGACATGGTAGCCCTGGAGGTGGAGGGAGATGTCGGCAAAGGTCTTTGGGTCGCGGTCGATGTAGAGGGTGCGGATGGCGCTCGAGAGGTCCTCGCCGGTCTCTTTCGCCTTCTTGACCTGGCAGTAGAAGTACTGGGAGAAGTAGGAGGGAGCTGGAAGATAAGATCAGCACACGTCAGGCAAGTTAATATATACGGTGGTATTGCGGGTGGTCGCGGCACGAGGCCGGTCCTTCCGACGGATGTCGAGGATCGGATTCGCGTTGGCAGGGAAGGCATGGATCGTGGACGCACCATCAGACGAAATGGAGGCGCCGGACAGCTTGAACAACTCGGATCCTATCTGGATTGGAAAGACGCGCTCGTGAGGGAGGAGATTCGGGATCTTGGAGACGGCCTCCTCGTCGCGGGGCGGGGCAGGGCTTCTCGAGGGGCGCTGCTGCGGCTGCGGTTTGCCGTTGGTGGTGTTGGCGACCGACATGTCGGCGACGAAGGGAGGGGGAGGAGGAGGAGGTTGACGTCGGAGGTCAGGCTGCGGCTGCGGCAGCGGCGGACGCTGGATCGTAGACTGTTGCTGCTTCTGTTGTTGCTGCTGCTGCTGATTTCGTCGCGGAGGAGGAGGCGGGGGAGGTTGGAACTGGGGCCGTTGCTGTTGCTGCTGTTGTTGCTGGGCAGGCTGCGGCGGCGGATGCGACTGCGACTGCGGTTGCGACAGGAGATCGTCCGGCTTGAAGGACCCTGGATTGCGGCAAAAGACGAAAACAGCTTTAGAGGAGTTTTCTAACAGACAAGACCACAAGCAAAAAGGTATTCAGACGCAAAGCTGGCAAGAGGCCTGCTCACCCTGCTGCACCGAGTTGTCAAACCACAGGTCAAAGACATCAGCATCCGACATGGCAATGGTTCTCTGGAAATAATTCTTCTCGATTGAGGCTGGCTGCGATACGGCAATCTACGCGAAAGGAACCGGCCGCCTGCGACTCGCTCGTTCTGGGAGCTATTCCGACCGGGGTAATAATAATTAGCACCACTGACAAGACAAAAACAATTCACTAGTATTGTGTCGCATTCATACTCAGGCCTGTCAGGTAGCAAATGTTGGAATTTGGAGAAGACATCGAACCGAAAAGTCCAGAGTAAGAAATAAAAATAACATATTCAAACGCAATGCAGTCGCCTACAAAGCGCAGAAGCGCGCAAGTAACGCGTTCAGTTGCCATTTGGGTTCTGAATTAGCATTCGGCGCCTCGGCGAAGCTTCGCTAATGATGAGCGAAAGGGCGCGGCAAGGCGCAAGAGCCAATTCAATCAGGTTCCAGTCTCTGGCCAGCCACCCCTCTAAATCTAAATCTAGGCTCACTAGGCCTCGCTAGGCCCCCAGGTAGTGAACACTGAAGATACCTCGCGAAAGAAATAAGCAATGTGTTGTATCACCTCGGCAGATTCTCTATGGAACGGTACTTGCGCGTCTCGGCCATGTCTTGCTCGGCTTCCCTGCCAATGAAACAAAACGTTTTTGGGGGCCGTTATTCCCGGCGAATATGCGCTAGCCAAGGCAACCTAACCGACCTTCGTGCCTTCCTGGGTAAGTTCCTTCGGGGCTCCCGTAGCGCTAACCTCGTTCCTGCCTGGCTCCATGGTGGCAGGCAGGAAGGAAGGAACGCAGGGCAGGGCGGGTATGTACCTGCTGTACCGTACAGACACAGAGTGGTAATTAGGTAGCTAGCTGCCTTCCTAGGCAGTACGAGGTGAGGTGGTAGCGAGTGTGCCCTGAGGTGAATGGAAGGCAAGCGCTACTCCGTACTCCGCGGGTCGCGCCTTCCTTCCACCCAACTCTATCTCACTTTACCTATCCGTTCCTGCCTTACCTGGAAGGGAAAGCCAATCGTTGCTTCCTACGCCAGATCATCCTCCTTCTTGTCTCAACCCTCGTCCCTCGCTTCACCTCTCGCCTGGATGGGACACTCGACATCATCTCGCTCGCCCCTCGCTCGACCCGTCTGCAGACTGCAAGTGATGTGCAACACGACAGGACATGCCCCGGCTCAGTCGCCCGGACAAGGTTGCTTCCATTGGACGATTTGACGCGGCCGCAACACTAATCATCATCCAGTGTCATTTGTCAATCATCAGTCGGCGGCGGCACTGACAACCAAGTACTTACACTTTCGCATCAAGACACGAACAAGAGCAAGACACCGGCTCCCGTCTGCCTTGACACCATGTCTCTCGCCGATGGAACGAAGAACGAACATTACCAGAACACTCCCCGGCCCGGGGTTTGCCGCTTATACTCTCGCATGTCATGCTGTCACGAGGAATGGTGGAGAAGGCGAACCACTCTGAAGATGCTACCAGCCTGAGCCACGCACTTACTTACACACACCTGTGCACCTCGGACACCTCCAGCCTCTATTGGAAGAGACCGCCTCCATCCTTCCTGCAAGGGACCGCGTCAGGCACCCGGCTCGTTCGTCAGGCCGCGGCTCACTTCCTGAACCCGCCATGGAATGATGGCGAGACATGGTGAACTGACACTTGCAGAAACAACGGGCGTTGGAAAGACAAAGGCCCAACTGTCCATTCTCCCGATCCAGAATCAAGATGCTTCCCACACCCACCCAAGGTACCATCAACGGAGCCATCCATGAAGCCTGGGGAAAGCCCCGATGGAGGGAGGGAGGGTTGATCGTTTGCTTTCATGGCAATCACTTTCGACGATACCCATACTCAAACATCACCATCCAGCATCACCCTCGAGAACCGCTTTTTGAACCAGAGATTTGCTTTCCGTCCCTAAAATGCTCCCACCCCAGAGGCAAACAAGCCTTTGAGGTATGCGGTCCAGCTGGCAAGTCGTCCGTCATCCGATGTATCACTTTGCCATCCAAGTCGTCAATCCCAAGACCGTGACGACCAAAGCAGACGCCGTCCACTCACCGTCCACCGACGCAAGCAAGGACTCCCCAAATCTCGGCAAGTCTGAGCCGAAACTGACAACCATCGTGATGCCATCAAGCTTCGCCTCAAAAAGCCTCGACGACGCGGATGCAAACCCTACTGTCATGCAAGGCCGCCCATTTCCACCGACGAACTGCTGCCCTGTCCTGGGCTCGAAGGATCGCCCCAACCTCAAAAGCCGCGTTCCAGTGTCTTACCGCCTGCGCACGCGATCTGTTCGCCAGTCTGATCAAGTTGATTAAGGTTCATCATTGCCGACATATGCTTCTTCTTGCATCAACATGAACTCCTCGCGGGAAACACACGGAAAGGGGGATGGCTCGTCGTTCTTTGACGTCGACTGAACTTACTGACGCCGCGCCGCGCCCTCGAGGGTCTGTTGCCGCACGCCACTAACATTGACAATAACCTCTGCAATCAATCGAGCAGCCCACTTGTCGTTCAGTCCGCGTCGTTCCGTCGCACCAAGTTCGACGCCACCCACTTGTTGTGCAGCAGCCGCATTTCCCACCACCACCATTCATTAACTAAGAAAACCAAAAAATAAAATAAAAAAAAAACCATGTCGGCCGAGTAGCGGAGGATTCCCGCTACTTGCAGTCGACCCAGAGACACAATGCGTTCACTCTCAAAAATGCTCATTGGCCCCAGGCAGCAATATGGAATTACCATGACCCGCACGTTGCTTTTCCAGGTAACCCGAATGTACTTCTTTACATACAATACGAACGCGATGCCGGTACCGAAGTCAAGGCACGTCCAGCCTCCCAAGGTTGTTTGAATTTCGTCCCGAGTCTCGGGGGCGTCAGTGCACCTGGTTGCGCACTCCAGACTTAGCTTCCGAGTCTCTTCCTAGCAGCACCTCCGGCAACTACAGAGTACACTAGGTGGTCGGAAACCCCCTCAAGGAGAAATGCTCGGAGCCGACGAGCGAGTTTTCCGCTGCCATATGGGGGCCCAATGGGGCCGTAACACTGAATCTGAGGGGACCGTCGTGGGTACTTTGTACCTACTTTATTACGACCTGATGTCGTGCTGGCCGGTTTCAAGGCCTTACCTCGTGCAGGGCAGGGATATGGATGCCTCATTGTTAACGGCAAGCGTCCCTGAAAGTCCGCAGGCCGCTCCACTGGGAATGCTGTCTGCTGGCTTCTGGAAGAGATAACGCCGAAACGCGCCCCAGATGCTGGGACTCCTGGTCTTGGTCGAGGTCCTTGTTCCATCAATCAACTTCTCAGCATTTCATCTTGTGCCCTTGGAAGGACGGAGTACACTACCTACGGTGCCTACGGCGGTACGGTGTGGTGCCCTGTCTGGAATCGCTGGACCGTGTCTTGTAGCCATTGGCCGACTCGGTAGCGACTGGGCCACAGGGTCGAGACTCTCTACCTTTTGTTCCATTATCTGATCATCTTGGACGACAATAATTGGTGGTAGCGAGCCAGACACGCGCCGCAGAGTTCGGGAGATCTCGATTGCCAGGCCGGATCGGGCAGTTTTTCTCTCGTGTGTCTTAACAGAGCGTTGCTAATTCACGGAGCCGACCTACCTTATTTCCCACGGGTCAGTCCATAATGAAACCCGTCCCCCAGATCCAGATGTCCATCCCACCAGCGGCCGCTGCGGCGGCAGGTTGAGTGGAATTCCTGGATGCGCCGCTCAGGGCCCTTGGCTGCCCTAGGCTCGAGCCGACAGTCATCATGGCTCGTCATGGACACAAACAGGCGAGACCGAGATTGGCATCAAGACTTGCATGCATGCACAGCCTGTTTCGCGGGGCAAATCTGGGCCCCAGGAAGGCAGCACGAGACTGGACGGTGCGATTGTCGAGGGAAAGGTCTCACACAATTTTCCAGCCGACAAAAAGCAGGAATGGGTGTGTATCATGGATTGATCGTCACCCAGTATGGGATGAGTGATGGAACATGCCGTCCCAAAGCGTGGAATCAGTCGCGTGTGCCCTTGGCCTTGTTCCCGCGCGACCTGCGACAGTCACACGCCCGCATGTTCTATCTCTGTCCTGCGGTCCAAGGACAGTCGACGCCCGTCGTTGTTTCTCGTTCAAGCGGAGAATTCGAGCAAGCAACCTGGAGGTGACGGGCTACGGATGCAGTGAAGTCTCAGGACCATCAAAGTTTCCCATGGCCCCCCACATGGGCACCAGCAACTGGATCCGAACGATGAATCTGTCTGGAACACGCATGTCCCGTTACAGACACGCTATGGGTGTTGAAATTGCCGACGAAGAAGAAAGGGACGATGGGTACTGGGGCCCTGGGGGTTGGGGGACGACTGGCGATCGACGACGGGCTGATGAAAGAAAAGATGGACTTGGGAAGCTCGGCTTGGCGGCGGTTGAAGGAACAGACTGAGGCGCCAGACTCTCCCACCCAGAGCCCCATCGGAAACACCACCTAGCGATAGGTAACAGCATGAGCACCGGCCAGCACCAACTACACGGGCATCACCACCGGGCGCGGGATGGCATGGCACAGGGCCTAAGCCTGAGGCGCTCGCAATGTTTCCAGGGAAGGGTTTAGCTGTAGAACGTGCGGAGCGGCGAGGCGGCGACTAGTCACCCACGTCGCGCACATTGAGTTGCTTAGGTGAGGATCATGTCACAGTCCGAGATGCGTCGCGTCAAGGTTGGACCTGTCAGTGAGATACCCTCAGACGGGGTGGAAAGTGGAGGGAAGGGGGGAGAGGAAGGGTACGGGGATGCGGTTGACTTCGGACTCGACTCCGGCATGGCCTGAAGAGTTCAGCGCAAGGTAGGCCGGAGCAGCCAGCATGTACAGCCGGCACCCACCACCACCCCCAAGGAGACCACCACCACCACCAGCAAGACGGCCGCACCACTAATCATTGCTGTTGGAGCACACGCACACAAGCCCTGTCAAATCATTTGGCTTTCTATTCAGCGAATGGTGGTTTGCAGCAACCGGGAACGCTGGTACGCAGGGCCACACCGCATGAAGAATTCCCAGATGCAGTAACGCGGGTGCTATTCACAGAGTGGTGGCCGCAGGTCGCCGACCTCGTGCGTCCCGCCGGCTGAAAGTTGGCACATTTGTACGAATACTGATGCGTACATGGGCGTCGCTGGCTGGCTCGTCAAGGCGTTTGACACGCCTGCCCTGCTGGACCTGACTGTCGATGGCGATCTTCAAGTGTTGGTGGGTTGTTGGTACACACTACTATAGTACAACCATGCCGCCACGGTCCTGAACTTCTGATATCTGCTGGTATCTACAGGAACCATGCAGGGCTCGAACCGGAAAACCGAGAATCAGGACATACCTCGGACATGCACGTACGTGTTCTGACATTGCCAGGCTCATCATCATTTATCTCCGTCTGGTCTCGGTGGGATTGACTGGACATCCAGATCTCGCTGGTGGGAGATTTTCACCAGCAGGCCCATCAGCAGTATCCACCCCGTCCACTTCATCTTGGCCGTCCCGTCGACCCGTCAACCTCAACCCCCAAACCCTGAGTCCGACTCTTGCTCTTCCAAGTTCCTCACCAGGCTAGTGCAGCTCCTCCTCATCGTCGACGGGGAAATCTCAACTCACGACACAACCTTCGGACGGCGGGGACAGAACGATGCTTCGGTGGATCGGGCGTTCCAGGGAGGTTCCAGGCTGTGCGGTGCAGTCAAGACCGCTTGGTGACACCCACTGCGCCCCGGGAAGTGTGGATTCCCAGCGGTTTTCAGGGTGTCTGGATGCCTTTTTTTACCTTGACATCACGTGTATTTTTGGAGTCTCTGGCCGGGAACGCTTGGAGCCGTTCGCAAGACACGCGACGTGATTACTGGGGGTACATCCGATGTTGGTGCATTTGGCAGAGCGCCGCGAGTACCGTGATCACCAGGCCCCCGGCCGTCTAAATCCATGGCTTTTCTATGCGGTCAGGAGTCCCGTACGAGGTGCGGATATCATGGAGCCTTGGAAACATATGCTTCCATGCCTTCCATCCGCTCTTACACGACAGACTGCAAATACTGTACGACCCTTGATTTTTCGATACGATTCCCGCTTGTGCCAGATAAAAATAAAGTACGTACCGAAGCTGCCGACATGAAAAATCTGACCGATCTTGTTGGGTGGCCCTCACACTCAGTTGCTGGCACCCGTCTCCTTCATCTCAGCTTTACAGCCCAGTACCAGGTACACGCGCATATCACCAATGCTAATAGGAAAGTGTTGTGCTCGGTACCTTACGTACGTATGCGCACCGCACCACCGAGCACATACAACCAACTGGGACGACCTTTCAAAGCAAAGGAGGCTTGACCTCCTGGAATTACACGCCGAGGACAACCATCACAACAGCCACAAAGCAGCAACAATACCCGCATCGTCGACTGAAGAAAGAGGTTTTCCCGATCCCCACCCGAGCGCTAAGCGAAGCTTCAAGGGATGTCGGTCGCTGACGGTCGGCTCGAGGAAAGGAAGCATCCCGGGTTCCGACGTGCATGACATGGCTGGCTGCAAGTACACACACACACATTCAAGAGACGAGAGGACAGAACAGGACGAGACAGGCTATCCGTACCGGGGCACGTAGCGGCGGCGGCAGAAGCAGCAGCCAGCAACAGCAAGCAGCAGCAGAACACCCTGGGATGCATGGCCGCCGCTACGCAGCAGCAAATCATACTGCAATACCTTAGCTACAAGGCAGAAGACGCTAAAACCAAGACACCTTAGTTAAGATGCAGAGGTACCTTGCTATGCAGCGACTTCCTGGCAGGCCTGGCCAGTGGCAAGGGTACCCGGTACGCCGATCCCTCATCCAGCTTCGTTCCAGGCCCTGTGGTGGCCCTGTGGTGCCCCTCAGCCGGTGTCTCTACGGTGCAGAGACTAAGACTCTGCGCCAGTAAAGGTCGACAGAGGTCGTTTGGCATCGAGGTCCGCCGGCGTTTTTCTGCTCGTTCACACCTTTTTTCTGCCCGTTATCTGCAAATGCAGTCAGTACCAGGAGCCCACTTGCTGGGACGGAGGTGCCTCTCAGCTGCATCCCGTGGTGTGTCTACAGCAGCTAGGCTATGGATTGGCTGTACGGATATGTAGGCCGCAGATACGGTAATTATATACCTACGTGGCCTGTACCTGGCAGCATCGATCGTGCCTTTGCTTCATCTTCATCAGACCTTCATCAGACAGGCAGCAGCGTGCCGACTTCGTCTCGACAAGACGCAAGTAATCCGCTGTCAGCCGGCCTGCCGTTCCTGCATAAACGACAGACAGCAGACGACAGGCTTCAAAAGAGGAGGAGGAGGGGTTTGGTCTTACGGATACAAGAATCGTTCTTTGAAGGAGGATATCAGTACCCTACCTACCTCACCCCGGCATAGACCAGGTTTCTACGTACCCTCCCTCTCACCTCCAATCTGAAGTGGCCTGGAACAACCGCCGAGAAGGGGGGTGGATCACTAAATCATCACTAACCACACCACCTCGACCTTCTTTTCCCTGGGCCTACCTTACCTCAACCTTCCAAACTTCCCGTCCCGTCCACTGCGAACCAGCCCAGCCCAGGCCAGGCCTGACCAGGGCACCGTGTCCCTGCACATTCGACACTTTTCTCCATCTCTCCTCGGCCATCCTGAGCATATCACGCCGCTCTCGAGACTCAACCCCGGCTCCCGACCTTTGTGTGTGAGAGAGAAAGCAGAGTGAGAGCGAGAGAGAGAGAGAGAGAGAGAGAGAGAGAGAGGAAGACAAGAGAGAAAGAAGAGAGCACACGCATCACACACATATCCATCGCACATTCATGGCAAGCCAGAGCAAGGCGCACCATCGTCCCTCATCTCTTATCCTGGTCAACACGCACAGCACCACCACGACCACCACGCCTCAACAAAGCTCACGCACCACCAACGCGAGGGATCTAGGAGGCAAAATCAAAACCAACAAGTAGGCGCTATCCAGGCCGTTATTACCTTATTCCACGGAATACCTCCCAGGTATCCACGTCCGACACATTTCAGAAAGAAGGGCCTTGCCTTGCCGTCCATTCCTTACCTTGCTGCCATAGACGAAGCAAGAGCAAGCACACTCACTGGACTGGTCTTGACTGGACCACACGGCACGGCACCGCCGCACCATACCCCAAAGCCCCGAGGAAGCTTGGATCATTGCAACTAGCAATTTTGGTCTCTTTTTTTTCCTTCCCTAATCCAATTTTCCTTTCTCCTCTCCTCCACTTCCTTCTTCACCTGCTACCTCCATCACATCCGGAGCTTTCGTCTGCTTCATTGACGACAAATCTCGGACTCGTCGTTCAAACCCCAGTAGACACTGGTCAGTTACGAAGGAACAAAAGACACGCGGAGAGAGAGACGGCCACCCGTATCCCGTCCCATCGGTTACACACCGTACACCTCCACTACTAAGCTGGCAAGCAAGCGAACAAGCAAGCTCGACCAACAACACGCCTCCAGCAGCAACTCCTTTCCGTTGACCCGTCGCTCGTTCTCTCGCTTGCGCCCACGCCACACACCCCCCTTCAGTTCTCACCCGCGCAGTCACAGCATGTATGGTCTGCGAATGACTCGACACCAGTCAGAGTCAAGGACAAGCAACACACTCCTGATCCGAGGCGACCCCAGACGCGCCCGGGACCTTCGATGAGAACAAGGTTGACCACTGTGCCAATCTAGAGCTGTAGCTGTTGTTGCTGTTATTGCTGTTGCTGTTACTCCTGACAAGCAATCTACCCACAACCAGCTCGCGCCGATTCAAACAACTCCGAGCCGACGGGCTTTCTTGAGCTTCAAATATCGAAGCCAGCCACTGCTGCCGCCGCTGCATTGCTGTGGTGTGCCGTTTTGTGTGCTGCGCTGCGCTACCGCCAGAATCCTCCTACACCGGTGCCGAACGGAGATTTTTTCTGGGACTATTGTAACGAACGGCTCAGATGGCCGCCGCAACCTCGTCTGCCCCGGAACTGGGCGCGGCCACAACCACGACGACGCTGCATTCTAATCCGAACCTCACTGCGGTTGCTTCACCAATGGGCCCGATGCACTCCGCACCTCCTCCGTACGAGACATCTCCTTCTCAACCCGCCCATCAGACGCTCGGCGGCGGCGTTCCTGGTTCTGCACCTACGCCTGTGCCTGCATCGGGCCTTTTACCTGCGGGCGGCCCATCAGCAGCCTCGGCGGCGGCAACGGCGTCGGCATCGCGCAGTGTCAAAAGGCCGCGACCCGTCAAGTCGTGCACCGAATGTCGTAAGAGAAAGCTGCGATGTGACCGAAATCTTCCTTGCTCCCAATGCCAGAAGTCACACCGCAACTGCAAGTATGCTGCCGAACAGGACTCGTCCATGTTGTCCGACGGCTCCGATGCCGAGGTTGGTGACATCCAACGCCCGCCAAAGAGGAACTGTCTTCCCACCGGGGCGCCCTCCTCAGGACCGCACCCGGCGGAATCGTCATCTTTCGCCCCTCAGCGCAATGGAGAGGGAACCGGACACTCTGCACTAGAGGAGCTCACCTCGCGACTGGACCGCTTGGAGAAGCAGTTCATGATCAAGAGCCCGGCAGGCACCGAGTTCAGCGGAGCTGGCCAGCGTTTGCCGCTATCTCCAGAGACAATACGAGGACTGACGGTAAAGAGAGGCGCTCTGAGAACGCGCTTTTTTGGTCAGAATAGCGTACGTGTCTTGCTGAACCTGGTAACTACATCCCCTAACCCGATATTCCCCTAGATGGTGCCCCTAACCGATCCCTCCCAGTTCGACGAAGCCAAGGATTTCATGGCAAACCAGTCTAAGATCGACGGTATTCGAGACATCATGTATGGCTTGCAGGTGCTTCACAAGAGGATCCAAGAAGAGTACCGAAAGTCACTATCGCCGATATCCGTCTTTGCCGACTCGGTAGTGCCTGTTATGAAGCGCATGCAGGATATTCTGCCCAAGAAGGCCATCTGCGACAGACTGCTGACGTCTTACATCGACACCTCCGAGACCATTTACCGAATGATCCACGTACCCACCTTTAAGGAGCAACATGAGCTATTCTGGGAAGGCAAATTGCCGGGGGATGCTTTTCTCCCCCAGCTTCTGACGGTCTTGTCCATCGGTTCAAGATTTGAGACGAAATCGAAAGGGCTTGGCCACGAACGCGTTGAGGGCGTACACATTCCGACGGCATGTGCGCTTGTCAGGTCATGGCTGGACGGTTTGAAGGGCAAGCAGCTGGTTGACTTGACTACTTTGCAGACGGAGATTCTACTGGTTCACGCGCAGAGAATGACAACACCGCGACCGCAGGATTCTTGGGCACAGTTGGGATACATCGTTCGGATGGCCATGACGATGGGCTTGCACCGAGACCCGTCGGAATTTGAACCGAGAGTACCGGTGTTCTTCGGCGAGCTGAGGAGGAGACTGTGGTTCACGATTCTCGACATGGACCTGCACCTGTCGCTGGCGTGCAACCTCTCGTGTCTCGTTCGCGACGGAGACTTTACCTGCCGACCACCACGAAACCTAGACGACAAGGACCTGTTCTTCGAGATGAAAGAGCTGCCGCCCAGCAAGCCAATCGATCAGCTCACCGATAATCAGATGCAGGTATATGCTGCTATGACTCTAGGGGTACGAATGCAGGTTGCGCACTTGATCAACCGCGTCGATTCGATCAGGGACTACAGCGAGGTTCTCGAGGTTGGAACGAAACTGGACAGATTCTTGGAGGACATTAACTACTTGTTCCCGCGCCACGGCATTTTGAACGAGGTTGAAAAGAGCAAGCAGTGGCGATCCAGGGTCATACTCGACATGCACGTGCGACGGCCCTTGTTGGCACTCTACCGCCCCTTCGCCCTAGGATTGCCAGACGCGCCGTCGCAGATTTCCAGAGCATATCTACGGTCATCCATGGTCATTATGCGATACCTCGACGAACTCGACCCCCTGCTCACCCACTTCCAAGACATCAGCGACATGTACCACATGGTTTTGAAGAAGGATATCTTGCAGGCAGCTTTCAGTGTGTGCTTTTACATCAAAGCAGCGATAGAGTCGCACGCCAATGGCAACACTCTGGGGATCTCATCGACCGTGGCCATGTCTCCCGATCCGATGGACGACGGTGTTGCGTTCAGCACCGAGACTTTTGCGCTTTGGTCCCCGTCGCGCTTGATTAAGACTGTGGAGAAAACGCTCAACTTGCTCGTCCGCAACGTTGGCGGCAACGACGTCAAGGACATTGTTGCACTTTCCGTTGTTCTATCATCGGTGCAATACACGAACCAGGAGCAAAAACTGCAGGACATTCGACGCAGTCTCCAAAGCGTTCTGGACGCTTGCAAGACAGCCACCAACAACAATCCCGAGAAGATGTCCCTGCCAGTTACGACGCCAGCCGATCCAATGGACCCCTACATGCAGACGAGAGCGCCATTCATGTTCCATGCGAATGCGTCGACGGCTGCGGTAAGTGACTATGGCGGCTGGCAGCTGTGGGAAGGCTGGGACTGGGCTGATTCGTGGTCGGCAGACTCCGGATGATTATGCGGATTGGGACCTGGATTACTGGAACCCAATGATACCGGGACCTTCCTAACAAACATATGCGGGGTTGAGGAGTAGGGATCCGACCCAAAGGGTCGGATAACCCCAACGAATTCCGCGCAATGGAACCCATGGTGTTCTGGAGGGGTTTGGGTCCGCTAGTATGGACGTTACAACAAACGACGCCGCCATCCTACCGCGGCACAGAAACCTGGAAAAAATAACGGAGTCGTCGCGCCTTTTGCGGGACGGAGCAGCGATGGCCTGCGACGCTGTCTCCATACGGTCACCGATCACATGTTTTACTTGACCCGAGCACATCTGCCGATACAGCATCAACATCAGCAGACATAATTCACAACAAGTGTATTTCTGCACTGCGTTGCAAGGAAGGAGAGGGATGCTGGGGAATGGGCGGCCAAGGCCATCCCGGCAGTGAAGAGAGTAAACACGAAAACGCCCCGGCGGGTTGGAAAAAGCATACGAAAGAAACTTGTAAATATTACTATACCGACGATACCAAAGCAGCGGAGGACACCAAAAAGGGAGGGCATGGGTGGCGTTTCCCAAGCAAGCATTACATTATACAAGGCTCATCCAGCCAACGTTTTCTGACCTGATAGAAACGCAGTGGACTACTCCTTGGTCTGACCTTTTCCGACTAGTTCGCAATAACCGGCGCCCGGCGGTTCCAATCAGGCTTTTCCGCGGCATCGACCATGAACACTGCGACGCTCTTCCTGGTGATCTTGGGCATCCAGCATATACCCTTGCCGTCATCACCGTAGTCTTTGACGGGCAAGGCATCCCCTTCGGTAAGCATAGGCGGGCGGACCATCACCCAGTCCACGCCTTCTTCGCCTTGCTTCCCGGTGACCAGCGCGTCGACGGCCCGGTGGTCGTCGAGGGTGTACTTCATGTTGGTGTGCTCGAACAGCACGCGGAAGGGCATGATGAGGCTGCCGCTACTGGCGCCGACGCCCTGCATGCTGTTGATGACGATCTTGGGTACGCCGGCGGCCTTCATGCCTTCCAAGGCATTGCGAACGGCGTCGTGCATCAGCGAGTCGGGGGTGTCTGGGTGCGGCGCGGCGAAGGGTGAGTCGGATACGCGCCGGGGGTTGAGGGCGACGATGACCGCATCGGGGGCCCTTGGGTTTTGCAGGGCGGTGCGAATGTCCGGGAGGGAGAGGGGGTTGCCGGGGACGAGGGTGAGATTGGGTTGTGGTTGTGGGGGAAGAGAGGAGGAAGATGGCGTGCGGACGAGGGCGGTGACGGTGTGGCCGCGAGAGAGGGCTTCGGTGAGGATGAGGGAGCCGTTGCGGCCTGTTGCGCCGAGGATGAGGAAGTGCATATTGGTGATGGATGAATGTGATTTGATGGATAGTAACAATGGCTTTGTGTGGAAAGATGCGTGTAAGCTCAGTTGATGATGCTAGAATTTGGAGGCGATTGGGGAGCAACTCGATCGCTTCTCTTATACACATCATGTCCATACTATTGCAAGCCACTTCACCAGCCTGGCATTTCTCAGCTTCTCGGCCGATACAGGAAGGATCATGATCATCCCCATGGCGCAAACTAGTGCCCCGAGCAACAGAGAGACACACTAGGTGTATCGGCCGAATCGCGGGATCCTCTCACCCGTGATGTCCGCTGAGCCTGCTATATCGGCCGAGACAGATGACCACTGCCCGGCCGAGTTGAGTGAGTTGCACCGCCCGACGGTAAAAGCTTACAAAGCGCCAACTTTCCACGGACCGACCGAAAACTCACACGGAGCTCGGAGCGGAAATAGCACCGGCCGGGAAAAGAGAAAAAGGATGTAGGCGAGCCTTTCCCGAGTCAGTTGCGCGGACGGGTAACATGTAAGGAAAGGTGGAATGCGATTTGATGTCCCATGTCCGGTTTGTGAGGAAAGTTTTTTGGAGATGAGATGTCAGCATAAGGTCAGCAAAAGCATCGAACGGCTCTGGCTACCAGCACAACAAAAAAAAAAAAAGAAGAGAAGAGATTTGGGATGCATGACGGAATCGACGATTTGTGGTAGCCGTCAGAGAGAGGTAAAGAGAGCAGAGCGGGTTATGGAGGAGGGGCCGTTTGAACCGTTTGGAGGTACGCCCCTCCCTCACCTCTGTTGGTTGTTCTGATTTGGGTTTTGTTCGTCTGTAAGGTTATTCGGGAAGAGAGCTGAGGCTATTTTGATTGATCTCTGTGTTGTGATGGTGACGATGATGATGTTCATGATGTCGGTCGGTGCTTCCGCGGGAAGTATGCCCATGTGTGTGTGTGTGTGTACCTTAGGTGTTGTATGTGTGTGTGTGTAAGTCGAGGAAGGTTCGGGCGGGCCCACATGTTGTTGCTCGTGAGTGTGTGCGAGTGTTTGTCGGCCGAGTGGGGGCGGGGGAAGCGGGGATGATGATGTACAGTACGGACTGAGGTTGCTGCTCTACCCATTTACCAGCTCGGAGCGCCGAGGTGAGTGAACCGTGGACAGGGAAAAGGGCAGGGCGATTTGTGAGGCAGGGGACATGGGCGGAGGGAAGTGTTCGCTTGGCCGCCCTTTCGGTCTGATAAATGTTACGAGTTTGGGTTTTTGGAGGGGTAGGGGGGTGTGTAGCGGGTGGGTGGTGGTGGTGTGTGGTTTGGTTGGGGGAGCACAGTTGTTTTGTTTGGTGGATAACTAGCTATGTCCCTCCTTAGATGCTAAAAAAGATTGCATCAAGAGAGGGAGGGAAGGGGGAGGGGGGTTGTTGTTTGGGCGAACGGGGAGTACCCCTTCACCGGGTTCGGTTTCGGACTTTTGAGAGGTGCGGCAAGTCCGGGACTCGGCCGGGTCCCGGGACGGAGTGGGGACAGCGCGGAGGAGAGGACGGAGACTAGACTGCATTTGGCGATTCGTAATGTTGGTCGGCCGAGAAGTGGAGACGGCTTACGGTGGTTAGCTTGGCGATGTTCGAGTGGCTCTGCTTTTTGGTGGTTTTGGAGCGTTCATTGGGAAAGGGAGGAAAGGATTGCCGCGGTGGCTTTTTTGGGATTACCAAGATGGAGGGGGATGATGTGGTCTTGAGGGAGAAATGGGCGATGGGAAATGGTATAAAGACGGTGAGGTCTTTTGGGTTGTTGTCTAGCATCACTTGGAGCATCATCACAACTTAGACATACATCTGCACTCTTTTCTCACGTCACACAAGATCACACATAAACACTTTACATCTCACGCGCAAGAAATGTCCTCCACTAGAGACGAAGTCGCCATCATCGGCGGTGGCATCGCGGGTATGGCCCTCGCCCTCGCTTTAGCATCTCACTCCATCCCCTCCACAATCTACGAGATGCGCCCAGAGACACCACTACCGCACCACGCGGGCGGCGGTATGATGCTCTGCCCCAACGCGCTGCGCATCCTCGACGGGCTGGACCTCTACACGCCGCTGCTGGCGCAGGCGTACCCGTTCGACTACGTCTACTACAAGGATCGCGACGAGAAGACGGTCGACCGGTACCCGATGGGCGGCGAGGCGCAGTTCGGGTACCGCGCCGTGCGGGTGTTCCGGCAGGAGCTGGTGGAGCTGCTGGCGGCCACGTGCCGGGAGCGCGGCGTACGGATCGAGCACAGGATGCGCTTTGTCAAGGTCGTCGCGGAGACGGAAACGGGCGTCGAGTTCGAGTTTGAGGGCGGCGGGAGGCGGAGCGCGGGTTTGCTCGTGGGCGCGGACGGGATACACTCCAAGGTGCGGAGAGCGCACGTCGCGCCCGAGGCGAAGCTGGGGTATGTTGGGCTCGCGGCGCTGACGTTCGCGGTGCCGACGGCGGAGCTGCGCATCCCAGCGGACAAGGGGTACGAGTTCCCGGTGAGCGTGGCGAGCGCGAACGGGGTGTTTGTGCTGGCGCCGCAGCGGCCGGACGGCGGGGAGATGCTGGCGGGGACGCAGGTGCCGTTTGACGAGGCGCAGGCCGGGCGCGGACGGGAGGAGCTCCTCGCGGACAAGGAGGGGCTGAAGGCGCGGCTGCGGAGGGATGAGGAGCGGTGGCCTGGGATTGTGAGGTCTGCGCTCGGGGCGATCCGGGACGAGACGATGAACGTGTGGCCTTTCTACATGCTGCCGCCGCTGGAGCGGTGGACGTCGGCGGGGGAGGGGAGGAGGGTGCTGGTGTTGGGAGACGCGGCGCATGCGATTCCGCCGACGACGGGGCAGGGCGCGTCGATGGCGTTGGAGGATGCGGCGAGTCTGGCGCAGGTATTGAAGAGGGTGACGGAGAGCGGCGGTCGGATCGGGTGGGCGGAGGGGGTCGGGTTCTGGGAGGCGATGAGGAGGGAGAGGCTCGGGGAGTTGGTGGTGTTGACGAAGAAGCTGAACAACAAGAGGTTGCCGCCGCAGGAGATGGAGAAGCTTGGGAGGGACGAGGTCTGGTTCGAAGAGGGCGAGGGCCAGATGAGGTGGTTGTATGTTCCCGAGATTGAGCAACGGGTCGAGAAGTGGGTGAAGGGGAAGATGGAGTAGAGTCTTTGTTGATGTTGATGTTGATGATGATTGTCACGATGGAGTCAATCTTTAGAAGTGTTTTTTAGTTAGTAATCATTCCTTAGATAAACCCTTGATAAATGCAGTCAGATGATTTCGAGACGAGAATGTCACTGAATCACCAGCTTCGAGTCAGTGAAGTCATGGCTCCGTCCCAGCACCGACGAGAAGGTTACCGCATGGGGCACTCACTCACACTGGAGGTACCTTAGCTAGACCCCCTGTTACAGGGCCGATTTACCTCGGCATGCCCCCTGATTGGCCCCTGAGCAAGACAAAGACAGGGGACAGCAAGCTGCGGCTCGACGTTGTGGCGCCCGGGGCCTCGGCATTGTGCTGCTTCGAGACGCTGTTTCCCCGCATCGAAGCTGCCCTTAGCACTGCTTCCCATTGCTTTGGCGGCTGCGGGAGGGCGGAATTGGGGCCGTTTGGGGGGGAGCAAAGGGGGGGAAAACCTGGAGAAGCTCATCCCGGGGGCCCGGCCGGGGTCCTGAGGGGGCGGCGAAAGCTTCCCTTCTGCTGCAACTTCATTCATTGAAGCACATGTCACTTGACATACCACTTCACATAGGCTCGGCTTGAATATATCTCCAACATCAACCCATCAACTGTTGTTGTCTCTTTCCATTGATTGTTATTACCCCTACTCACACACCAAGTCGAACTCGAATTGAACACCAAACAAACAACACCAACACATCAACACACCAACCGCAGACATGGCTCCCCGACAGAAGCGCGAAAAGGCGCCGTGCTACGTCCTCGGCGTCGGCATGACAAAGTTCATCAAGCCCCGCGGCAAGGTCGACTACACGGAGCTGGGCTTCGAGGCCGGCGTCAAGGCCATGCTCGACGCCCAGATCAACTACGACGACGTCGACCAGGGCGTCGCCTGCTACTGCTATGGCGACAGCACCTGCGGCCAGCGCGTCTTCTACCAGTTCGGCATGACCTCCATCCCCATCTACAACGTCAACAACAACTGCTCCACCGGCAGCACCGGCCTCGCCATGGCCCGCACCTTTGTCTCCTCCGGCGCCGCCGACTGCGTGCTGGTCGTCGGCTTCGAGAAGATGATGCCCGGCAGCCTGCAGAGCTTCTTCAACGACCGCGAGAACCCCACCGGCACCTCCATCAAGATGATGGCCGAGACCCGCGGCATCACAAACTCCCCCGGCGCCGCCCAGATGTTCGGCAACGCCGGCCGCGAGTACATGGAGAAGCACGGCGCCAAGCCCGAGGACTTTGCCGAGATCGCCCGCATCAACCACGAGCACTCCACCCGCAACCCCTACTCCCAGTTCCAGGACGTCTACACCCAGGAGCAGATCCTCAAGGCCCCCGAGATCTTTGCGCCCCTCACCAAGCTGCAGTGCTGCCCGACCTCCGACGGCGGCGCCGCCGCCGTCCTCGTCTCCCAGGCCTTCCTTGACGAGCGCCCCCACCTCAAGGACCAGGCCGTCCTCGTCGCGGGCCAGTGCCTCGCCACCGACGCCCCCTCGCTCTTCTCCCGCTCCGCCATTGACCTCATGGGCTTCGAGATGACGCAGCACGCCGTCAAGGCCGCCCTGGCCGAGGCCGGCGTCACGCAGAACGACGTCCAGGTCGTCGAGCTGCACGACTGCTTCTCCGCCAACGAGATGATCGTCCTCGACTCGCTTGGCCTCGCGCAGCCCGGCAAGGCGCACGAGCTGGTCCGCCGCGGGGACATCACGTACGGCGGCAAGTACGTCGTCAACCCGTCCGGCGGGCTCATCTCCAAGGGCCACCCGCTCGGCGCGACGGGCATCGCGCAGTGCGCCGAGCTGGTGTGGCACCTGCGCGGGTGGGCGAACAATCGCGCCGTGCCGCGGACCAAGGCCGCGCTGCAACATAATCTTGGCTTGGGCGGCGCCGTCGTCGTGACGGTCTACAAGCGCGCCGACGGCAAGGAGGCGCCCAAGGTCGACTCGGCCACCGTGGGGAAGGTGAACAACCTCGGGTACAACCCGGCCGTGGAGGCCAAGGGGTTCACGGCGCAGCAGGCGGCGAGCGTGAGGAGCAGGACCAAGAAGAGCGAGTGGGCGCTGCAGGACACCGAGGAGAAGGTCGAGGCTAGGTTTTAGGGTAATAGGTAGCTGTGGTGTATAAGAACAAATTGTACAAATTCGATTTCTTTTGGTTTCTCAATGATCGATGGCACATGTATTCAACTACTGCCCTTGTTGACTTCGTAGGTAAGCAGATACACTGTATACTCACCCTTACCACCCCATTTGGAGTCATCTTGAACGACGCGCTCGACCTCTTTGAAGCCCAGTCTTAGGTACAGATTCAAACCCGCCTGGAAGGCAAGGATGAAGACATCAATCCCCATTTTCTCAGCCTGCCTGATACCGCTTTCGACTAACGCTGTAGCAATACCCTTGCCCTTGTTTTCGGGGTGCACAGCGAGGTAGTCGAGACCTGGACTCTAATTAGAAAAATACTCCTCAGCTGGTTCAAGGAAGAGAGACTCACTTAAGCAAGGCTTCTCCGCCAGTATGCGCTCCTTAACCTTGTCGCTCTCATCGTCGATGCCTTCCATGTCAATCGGCTCCCACCACGCCCCGTCCGCCCTCTCCTTCAGCGCCTTCCTCTCCTCCGCGCCAACGTCCGGGATCTGCGCCGCGGCCCACTCGGGCCGGCCGCTGCCGTCCGGGCCCGAGGTCGATGTCTTGGCGGCGGGGAGCTCCCAGCGGGCGTAGCCGAGCAGCGCGCCGGTGGCGGGGTCGACGGCGACCTCGTGGCGCAGGGCCCCGCGGTCGCGGAGGAGGTTGTTCGGCAGCCGCTTAGCCGCCTGCTCGATGAGGAAGTCGAGGGTGATGTGTTTGGGCCACAGCAGGATCCAGTTCGGGTCCGTCCAGAAGGCGGACATGTTGTTGCGGGCCAGGGAAGGCCCGTCTGCGAGGGTGCAGGGGCGGATCTGGAACGGTGGCATTTTGTTTCGGTCTTTTCTTCTGTTTCTTTTTTTGTAAAAACCGGAGGATGCCCCGTTGAATGAAGATCTTTGTCTTGGCGTAAGGCGAGTGTGGGTGGGTGGGACGGATGGACGTTGGTCGCGTGGGACTACGCGAGGGGTGGTGAGGTGAGACTATCGAGACCAAGATAGCTGGATGGGGGTGCTTTGCTTGCAAGAGATATGGGACGATCGAACGGACGACGGGATGATTATCAAATAGGGCCGATAGCAAGAAACGAAACAAGAACGTTTGCTGCTTCTTCTTGTTTCCTCGGATGGGTTACTGAATGAGAAGTTGTTTCTAATTTCGAAGTGAGGCGCTTCCGACGGAATCAATCCGATACCCCCGGATTTCTCGGTGATGCGGTCTACTGCGTAATGTGTGTGGGTGAGGGGATTTCATGGATCCCACGGCTGCGCGTGGGAAGTCTAAGTCTAACCCCCCCCCCCCCCCCCCCCCCCAAACGGGCCACGTAAGCCACCGGGACGGTACCGAACGGGCGTGGGGCGCCACGTCCCGAAGATTTTCGGCACAAAGACTCCACATTTGGAAGCCGGTTCCCGAAGACCTCCCCGTGTGTTCCACGGAACCCGGCCCGTGAGGCTGTGGAGACGAGCTTCTTTACATCGGAGAATTTCTTTTGGCTTTTGATATGAAGTTTGGATAGCACTATGCAAGCGAATCTTATCCTACAGTTCCTATCTGATGGCGAGTTGCGTCTAATGGTAACTTAATGCCTTTGACTTTGCTGTAGAACCAGAAACGCATTCTTCAGCTAGACTCGAAACTCATTCGTCGGTACAACATAGCTAATACTATGTAAGTACTTACATGGAAAGTATACAGCATGGGTACTAAGCTTCCCATCTTAATGGACCTGTGTTGCAAACCTTAGAGACGTTTATGAAAGCTAGCTTTCACTATCTGTATTATTACCTCGACGCCCCTGATGAAGGCTAGTCCTCGTTCCGAGGCCCAGTTCCCTTTTCACGAACATTCGTTAATTGCAAAGTCACGGTCGTTGCAAGTGTCGAAGATCCCAGAGACTCAAATCGTCAGTTAGCCACACACCACCCAAATAGCCGTATCCGGCAGCACGTGGCGAGATTATTTGGATGGAGCGTATCCCCCGTCTAATGATTTTCAAGGTTTCCGGACACCAAATCCGATTGCTCACTATCAGTGATGGGCTTTCAAGCGAATGGGAGGTGGTAAGAACGTCAATCTGCCTTAGCCTTCGGGGATATTCAACACCATCCACGTGGGGCATTGCGTGATCCCGAACCCTGACCGTTTCTTCCCTCAGAGACAATCGCCCCCAAAATCCTTCTCCTGCAGAACCAATGCAGTTGGCCAATTGATCTTATCGTATCTCTCGGCAGGTAGAAGTGGATCTAAGCATTGAGGCTAACATTTCGCGTGCATGTTGACGTCCACCTCCGATCCCACGCTTCATCAGGGGGCATGCGAAATTCGAGGCCTCTGATGCGGTTATTGTATACCCGCCGTGTCCACTCCGAATAATTGCGTGATCTATTCTCGTTATCTTTGCTGCGCTGCTCAACGCTGATGCAAAACTCTGTTAAATCGCATTCCCGATGGGTCATGGCGTGCTCGTCCGGTGCCATTGCTGCTCGAGGTTTAAACTGTACTACTTCCTGCGTATCGAATCAATCAACGTGAACTGTGACTGTCCTTGCTTCTTGTACGTGAGATTATCAGCGAGAGCACTTCAAAATGGTGCTCGTCAAGCTTGCCCAGTTCTACCGGTCATGCCTGTTCCAAATCATCATCGTCGGGCTCGTGGCATTCTGCGAGCCAGGCATCTGGACGGCGCTGAATAACCTGGGGGCCGGAGGAAACGCAAAGGTCAGCTCCTGATTTTCATTTCCAGCCTCAAGAGTTCGTATTCACTAACTTATCGAACAGCCGTTCCTGAATAATGCCGCGAATGCCCTCACATACGGACTCATGTCCGTGGGCTGCTTCATAGCCGGAGGCGTCACGAACAAGCTCACTGCCAAGTGGACCCTGTTCATCGGCGCAGCCTTCTACACGCCCTACGCAGCCGGCCTCTACTGCAACAACCGCTACGGGAACGAGTGGTTTCTGTTGCTCGGCGCGGCCTTGTGCGGCATAGGGGCTAGTTTACTATGGGCGTCGGAGGCGAGCATTGCCGTCGGATATCCTGAGGCGGAGAAGCGAGGCCGGTGAGTCTTCCGCTCTTACACTGACAACCAGATTCTAGCCTTTGCTGACTTATTTTATTCTAGATACGTTGGTATCTGGATGGGGATTCGCCAGATGGGCCCCCTCGTCGGCGGTGCAATCTCCCTGGCGCTGAACATCAAGACATCTGAGAAGGGCAAGGTGACCTACACGACCTATCTGGGCCTCGTCGCCATCTCATCCCTAGGAGCCCCGTTTGCGCTGCTGCTCTCCCAGCCGCAAAAGGTCGTCAGAACAGACGGCACGAAGATCCCGTACATGAAGCAGACAGACTTCGCCACTGAAGCCCGCGCGATCTGGAAGCAGCTGAGGAACAAGTACATGCTGCTGCTCATCCCCGTCTTCCTGGCAGGGCAGTTCGGCACCACGTACCAAGGCAACTACCTCACAAGTGGGTTTCCATCTCTCTTACATGTCCATCTCGACCGCTGACAGAATCCACACAGCCTACTTCACCGTCCGCTCCCGCGCCCTCACCTCCTTCCTCACAGCCGTCGTCGGCGCCGCGGCCAACCTCATCACCGGCGCCATCCTCGACGTCAAAAGCCTCGAGCGCTCCGCCAAGTCCAAGGCCGTCTACCTCGTCATCCTCGTCTTCGTCACCGCCGCCTGGATCTGGAACGCCGTCATCGAGACGCGCCTCTCCTCCATGGCCGACCCGCCGTCCTTCGATTTGGGCGATGGCGCCTTCTTCAACTCCGCCTTCACGGTGTACATGTTCTTCAAGTTCTTCTACGAGATGCTGCAGACGTACATCTACTGGCTCATGGCCGAGATCAAGGGCGCGCAGGGCGACGGCGACATTGCGCGCACGACGGGCATCCTGCGCTCGTGGGAGAGCATTGGCAGCACGATTGCCTATGCGGTGGGCGCGACGCACTGGCCGAACAAGAACCAGATGATCCTGGGGTTCACGCTGTGGGGCGTCACGATCCCGTTTACGCTGCTTGCGGTGTTTGGAAACTGGAACACGGGCGGGGAGGAGGAGGTGCAGGAGATGATTGAGAACTCGGACGGGACGGAGAGCGAGCTTGGGGTGGAGAGGGTTACGGTGCAGGGGAAGAGGGAGGAGGTTTGAGAGACTGATTCTTCTCTCCCTTTCTCTAGCAATATCTGTATGATAATAGTCATGACCGTCGGAAGCGTTCGCTGGAGTGCAGGCATAGACACTGATAATAGCTTCATTAAACATATGGACAACTGCACTTTCACTAGAATTTGAGACATGAAAGTTTAGACTTGTTTCGCCTTCAGACTTCTCGAAGTGATTGATCACTTGGGGCTTGGTTGCCGCCTTTCCATGATCCGGCTCGTAAACTTGAAGGACAAAAGTAACCGCTGTATATAGCGAAATCAGGCGTCAGGCGAGATGGAAGCTTCTTCGTTCTTCACTTCCTGTCTTCTCTTCTGCGGTTGAGATCTTAAAGAACCGGAGGGTAGAATGAGCGCCACCTGCACGCAGTCGCATATCATTTCAGAGCACGCTGCCTCACAGGTACCCAATCTCACTTGTAACACCATGCCTTTACCTAGAATGAATCTCATCCTCAGTCTTCAAAGGCCTGTATAAAGCGCCACCAAGAAATACTCTCGTCGGAATGCCATACCGCTCTAGGATTGTATTAGATTCGTTGAAACCTCGTGGCATGCAACATCTATGTCTCTTTATTCCGATCATTTCGTTGGCTGTTCAATGCAGGACCTAGCGTGGAAAATAGCGGCAGGGGAAAGCGCAATCTTCCATCCTTCACTAGCCGTTGATATTTCAGTCATGCATACTAGGTAGGTACTCAAATTACTCGCCCACCTTACTCAGCTATGACGGAAGTTTGATCAGAACATCGTAAATCGTTTCACCCACATCATATACGAAGCAATACTTGAAAAGAACGGGAAGCCAAGTCCAGTGTTCCGGTTCCATTTGTAAGGAATAACCAAATAGAAAGAACTGGTTAACATGACTGTACGGCAACTCAGAAGACATATCCCTGGAGGTACTTGACCCTAGCTCATTCATGGATTTGTTCTTGTTGTCTGATCAGTTGAATAGCGACATGGGAGGCCTCTTGTAGATAATTCTGAAGGTCTCGCATTGTAGGCGTTAATCGTAAAGTCTTGTGTCTTTTTCAAATGCCCTTCCTTACGACTCAAACCAATTCCGAAGCCTCTGAAGGCGGTGGAACCAGCGCTATCCGTGAAAAAGCTCACGTCAGAAAGTCTAGCAGTGTAAGTCAGGCTTTTGGAAAAACACTCGACAGAGGATGAGACACTCATTGAACTAGGCCCTGCTCGTAACACCTTGTATCACCTTTCGTTCTCCTCGCTCGCTTATTTGTATACTATATCTTGGGTATTGACCCCTGCAATTGTACACCTGAGTGTGAGTTGAGTCCGGCTTTCTATAAACGGTGGTCGCTTTTGACCTGGCTTGGCGTAGAGCCTCCCTAGATTTTGATTCAAGAAATCTGGCTGTTTTCGGCGGGTCTTTTATTGCTCACAGTCTGAGATACCCCAGCTAAGGATGGCGATGATGAGGTGTCCGAAGTCTCTTGATTTCTTGAACGCTTCCGATGCCTCCATAACATGCACATTTATGCTTGAAATTGTGCAAATTAACAAAAGAATGTATGTAGTTGGTTATTCAAATGCTCGTCGAGCTGTAAAGGAGTGATAGATGATTCATAAATGCAGACCCTAGTCCCCCGTCCTCGGACTTTCATCCTGAGCCCGGCCATCAATCGATCAACCAGTCTGGCTCAAGTACGAGTGCCCTCTTTAGCACTCGACTCTGAAAGACCAGCATCCCTCCAGCGAGTGGCACTGGTGGGAGCTGAAGGCCCTCTTCACGCCGCCGTCGCAGTTTCCGCCCGGGTAGCATCGAACTGATTACGACAAGTTAGTCATGACTCCGTCACGAAGACCACATAATGAGGGTAGTTGCTTACTCTTGCAAGCGGTGTTATGCTCGAGAACCCTCATGCCGTGGTCGGTGCTGTACAGCGGGTTGCAGTTGCCGCGGCTGTATTCGCGCGTGGGGCCGCCGCCGTCAGAGCAGTTGGTCTTGCCGCTCTTCTTGACCTTGAAATCGGCGGCAGCGGCGGTCGAGCCGAGGACGGCACAGGCCGTGAGGACGGTGGTGAAGATGTTGGAGATGAGCATTTTGAAAGAGGGGGTTTATTGGTGTGAAACTTTTGGTCTTTGGGAAACTGATTTGTTGATAGGAAAGATGAAGATGTGGATGTAGGCTGGTTGAAAAATGTAGAAGGTCCTGAGAGGACGGCATACATATTTATATTCGACTGACAGTCCATCTCCTGGTATGCGCTCTTCATCATTAGTTGAGCCAGACTCACAATACACATCATTACGAGTCGACAAAGATGATTTGATAGTACCGGCTCCACATGTCACGATAGTCAACTTTGAAACTATCTCGATTGGGCTATTGAATGTTGTCATTTGAGAAAAAGTTGTAACCCAGCCGCTTAGCTACAGCTTGACCAGTTGCAAAAGTGAGTACACACATAAGCGCCAAGATGGCCCCGATTGGCTGTATAAAGCGACCAAGGAAAATCCCACTTGGCAAGCGATCAAACTAAAGACCTCACCCGGTTAGCAATCCGTTTTAGTTTCTTGTCGGGCGTATTGTGCCTCACGATGTTCCACAGAAGTGAGAAAGGATGAAGCAACATCTTCCTGGGTGGTCAAGGTGATGGTCTTTGATTGGCATTGCCAGTATGATTTGTTGTGAGAAAGAAAAGGAAGCAATTGGATATACGTTTAGCGATGAAGATTTATCTTGCTGTGTCATCTTTTTGAGATGTTCTATAAGCAAATCATAACGCAGAAGCGATTTGAAAGATATCGACCGCCCAGTGACGGCCTCAGGAGTATCTTGAAGCGGAATTTGCATGCCCCACTGGCTATCATTGGCATTACGGCTCTTTACAGCAGTCGTTGATCCTTGTCCCACAGGAAGAATCCTACTATGCACGTTGATTCTTTCCATGTCACGGTGCTGATGTGAGACGATGGTTATCCACACCCACTCGTTATTTTCATCCTAGGATGCTGGCTTGTTGAACTTCTTCGGTCGGTGCATTTCCATCAAATGATCTGATCATCGATACATGGAAGAATGAGAGACTACCGGGCGCTTTTAAAAAGTTTGACTTTCAGTTGATCACTGCTCCACTCTTGGACGTATGCTCTCATTTCACCATTCTAGGACTAGAGCTGGGAACGAAGTCAGAACAGGGGCAAGATAGGTGTCCCTTACAAGTCCATTGAAAGCACAGATAGAAACGCTGTGGAGAAGTTGTACTGCTACTGCGTAGAGATTGGTTGCTTCCACGGAAGATCTTCCCGCAGGAAGTCTGGGCCAGAAACAGCCAAGAGACTAAGCTGACATGCTCGCGTTCGCCCATCCGGCAGCTCCCGCCCGGCCCGCTGCGCCACCCAGCGAGGTCCGGCAACATACATTTCCCAATTTAGGAATGATGTTGCGGGTAATAGCTGCAAGGGACTTGAAAAAATGAAGAAATGCATATAACAGTACACTGACTGTCTTCGTGATGTGAGGCATTGTGATCACACTCGCCAGCTGACATCGGCGGTCTCGTCTTGGCTGCGCGCGCTGAGTAAGCACTACGGGAAGCACACGGTATGTACATGTCTCAAACGTTGAACTCTTTTGAAATGACAAGACTGATTCGACACTCCAACGGGATTGAACCATATGGCTAGAGCTTTTTGCAGTCCGGGACCGTAAGACCGTAAGTCTGCTGTTGTTGTCTCACTTTAGCCCCAAAAGGACTTTAGTACTGAACGTCTTGACCGGCGGTTTTCTCTGTTGCAATATCTTCCGTCGGTGGTTTGTCTAATCTCCCGTTCTGTCCCGTAGACTACGTTCGTGCAAGCGAGCCGCCTGCGCGCAGTCTGAATTCTTATACCATGTTCCAGCAGAGTCATTTTACAGAAAATCGAGATCCCCCGCAGTCACTTTAGGTATTCACTTCTTTGCCATCCACGATGTCTGGTGTTTAGTCACAACACGATAAATCTCACAGTGGCAGTCAAGCTTCCACCGCGCATCAAGCTAATCCAAACTGTATGCGGCCAGCATTCGGAACCAGGAGTACAAAGCCCTCTATCCCCATTTTATGTACGCAAGAGCTTGGGATTCTCGCGAGTATCGGCAGGCAAGGCAGTTAGCCAGTCCGCATAAACGCATGCTTCTTCCCAGGAAACACAATCCATTTGGTACCGGAGGCATTTTTCCAGAGCTGTTCTTGGTTCCCGCACGAATTTAGAATGATTTAGAGTGATTTGATGGCCAGTTGTGGAGGCCCTCGTGGCGTGCTGAAAAAGTGCCGCCTTCAGTGCCATGTTGCCATGCAGAGACGCCACATTCCTCACGACTTACACGTCGAGCCTGTCGCCGGGCCAGCCACCGTTCCAGTCACTCACATGCTCTACCACGTTGTCCCTCGCAGCCGTCTGCATTCGAATGAAGTCTGAACAGTGTGCCATAGAAGGGATCGAAAGTCCTCGTAGCGGACGGAGCCAATGCAGCCAACAAACACCCATTCATTCAAGTAGGCCCATCACGCAGTTGGCATCAACGGATCCTGAATTACATCCCCACCTCTCAACATCTACCTCATCCAAAATGCGTCCATCAACCCTCCTCTCACTACCCCTCGCCGCTTTCGCAGCTACAGCGCACGGCAGGACAATGACAACAACAACAAACTCACCCTCCCTCCCCTCCTCCCACTCAAAAGTCCAACTCTCCTGCCTCTGCGAAGACGAGGCCTGGGACATCGCGCGCCGCTGGCTCGCCATCTTCGACACCCCAATCACCTCCACCAAGGCCCAACTCGCCGCCGTCGTCGCGCCAAACGTCACGAGCTACGACGACACCTTCGGGCCCCCGACGCTGAACATCGACCAGCTCCGGGACGCCATCATCGCGCCGCAGAACGCGACCACGACGAACAGCACGCAGACGCCGACGTTCCTGCTGCATTCGTGCGACCAGATTGCGTACAATTGGCAGTATACCGCCGTTACCACGGGATACAACTCGTATGTTTGACTGAGCTGATCTACTGTGGCTGAAAATGATCTGACTTTGATTCTAGGACTGTACCGGCAGGAACGCCAGTCTCGTTCACCGGGAATGATATTTTGCGGGTGGACCTGAAGACGCGGCTTATCTCTAATGCTACCTCGTGCGGTGACTGGATCCTTCTATCCCGCCAGCTAGGAAACTCTGCGAATGTCTAATTGGCTTGGCAGGAGATGGATGTGCTTTAGACGGCGTCTTTCAGGGGCTGAGTGGTGTTAGAGAGATTTGAGGCTTCATGTAAATTCTTTTAGTCAACGTTCTACCGATCTCATATATTCAAGATCAGGGACAATCCAAGGTTCCAGTGATTTTATCACGGGGCCAAAGCACATCAAGAGTATCAACCGGGGCCGCTCCCAACGCCTGCCCTTCATACGTTGAGACCCCTGAAGCCAATATTTGACAGCCGAGCGAGCCGGACGCTTGCCCAACGGTCACATCAAGCCGAATCGTCTGCTTGAACAACTCGAGACAGTCACCTTCATTCACAGCGACAATCGAAGACCGAATATCTGAGTCCGAAACGCCAAATCAATTTCTATCTAGAGCAACGATGTCTCTGACAGTTTTCAACGCCTACGCCGAGTCGATCAGCGCCTTCTCTACCCTTCTGCCGACGGTCGTGCTCCAGCCGTCAATCTTTTTGTTCCACAAGTTCGTCAGATATAATGTTACACTCATCAGGATGATCCAGCCAAGGACGTAGCCCTGTGCGCGGCCGAAGTTCTCGAAAAGCCTCGGCATGAGCCAGAAGCCCAGGCTGTGAAGCACGGGGCCGTGTACGAGGTACAGCGAGAAGCTGATCCTGCCGAGGTACTGCGCCACCTGTCCTTCTAGGAGACGGACGAGGACGGGGCTGCGTAGGATGCAGGGGAGTAGGAGGATTGCTCCCATCGACTGGTAGAACATCCAGCCGGATAGGGGGATATAGTAGCGGGGCACGAGTGAGGAAAGGAGAACGAAACCTGGGGTCCATTCGGCCGAGGCGTCGGGGTAGGAAAGGAAGTAGAGTGCCACGAACATGGCGATCCAACGGGTCGCCGTTGCGGAGATGATTCTCTGCAGGAGGGTTGCTCGGCGGCCTCGGGGGTCGCTCTTGCCGGGGTACCCGAGCGAGCCGTCGTGGGTATCAGACGTACGCCAGATGTCAATTTCGGAGAACACCATCCCACCCATGAAGGCAGCCATATCCCAGCGTCCGAAGATCAAGCTGTAGACGGAGAGGAAGCTGCCAATGCCCATCCTCCACTTCGCCTTGATGGCCGCCGTGCCGAGCAGGAACAGGTAGATGAACATGGAGCCGCGGAGCTCCATGGGGATGGTGAAGGTGTGAGGGTCGTAACGAGTGTGGTAGTGGCCAAAGTTAAAAGGGTTCGCCCACTCCGCGTAGACTCTGGTAAAGTTCTTGATGGCGTAGGTCATGTTGTCGTGGATGATGGGGTGCTCCTCCCACGAGCCGCCCATCTGGACCCAGGTGATGTTGTGGGTGGTGGTGAGGTTCTTGGCCTTTGCGGCGTCGGCCATGTCCTTCTCGGCCTGCTCCTGGGTGGATGACCTGTGCTTTCCCCAGATCTTCTCCAGGTGTCCACCCCCAGTCTTCTCCTCGCGGGGCCGCGGCTTGGTGGATCCCACCTGCTTGAGGGTGGCGTTTGCTGACTTGTTCTCGGGCTTGAGGTCCACCTCCAGACTGTCGACGAAGCTGTAGAGCATGGCTGGCATGAAGAGCTGGGACGTCTTGTTTAAGCAGAGCTGATCTGATGATGCGGTCAAGTTTGTAAGGTTACCCAGGGTAAGCGGGGTTTGGAGGTGGAGGTATTTGGCGACACTCTTGGGGCCGGCGGCGGCAACGGTTCCGTTGATGCAGGACTCGCCGAGTTGAGGGTGGGCAAAGGTGACGGTGCCGTTGATGTAGGCCGAATCAGGTCCCTTGAAGATGGCGTTTTCGGGCTTGAAAGCGCCCATCTGAGCCAGCAGGGCTACCAAGGCCATGCTGATAGTGGGCGGGATGTAGAGACGGAAGACGCGC